CAAACATAATTTCCCAAAATTAATAGCCCCTTATCAATAGTTTTAATTGTTTTAGATGGATTTTTTCTCTCTCAAAAAACAATGTGTTACTTTTTTTTTTGTTTTTGTTGACGTAGGAACCTGCAATTGATACTCACCAGCGGAGCCCCAACCATCTCGAAGGGGCGGAAGGCCGACCACTATAAGTGCGTTACTAGGTAAACTTCACTTCACGTGCAGTAGCTCGCAAATTACACAAGAGAGGTAAAATGCACTAGATAAGCCCGGTGCGACGGACTTGACCGAGGAAGTGTTGGCAGGAAATTCGAACTCGTGACTTTTGATCTCCGCGTTCATCTGTTCCACCAACTCGGTCACCCATAATGGGGTAACAACATGTTACTTTATTTCATCATGTAGGTGGTTCAAGTGAGAAATTTGGAGGCTTTTTGAATATGGGATTATATTACTAATACTCTTTAAATTTAAAATACATGGTAATAGTACTTGGAGTGGTAATCATCAGATTATAATCCCACGGGAGCGGCTCCCAAAACTAGCGCAATTTGGTAATCAGCTAGCCGAGAAAGCAGCGCATTCATGATGTATGGAATCAAGGTCTATAAGGCAAAATCTCGCTTAATCGTTATATCTGCAACTAGCCAGTCGAAAAGGGTGTTACCCCCTAAACCACTAAAAAAGGTCTTCCATTAGCATCACTTTTTTGCTCTCTGTGATCGACATGTTAATGCTCGAACTTAAAAGAAATGAACCGAGTGCCATATTTCAGCAATATAGCTTTACTTTAACCAATATCACCACCATCCGAGATGGCTGACTATTATTGCTTCTGTTTCCTTCTCTTTTTAATTGGTAAAGTTCACTCAACCCTAATCCCTCTAGAGAGAGAGATTGGCACGACCCCGAGCTCAAGGAACGGAGAGGCACACAGCATGACTAGTAACCCCTAGCAGCACCTTGCTAAACGACCATCTCCACGAATCAACAACTTTAACTCCAAAAATTTAGAATTATATAAATCACAAGATAATGGCGACCAGAATCCAATGGGACAAAGAATCTGCATTTTGCTCTGTTTAGATACAGATCCTGTTCTATAGGAACCAAGCGAATCGCAAAATAATAAAAAAGAAATACAAGTGGGGCGCATGTATATTCAGTGCAATGCAGCCAACAAAAAACTATTCAATAAAGGGGTGCTGGTGGATTTCCCACCATCTTCAGTCTTCACAGTAATAAAGTACTATTATAAAACAGAAAACCAAGGTAAAACCTTAATTTACGTCGCCTGAGAGATTCGAACTCTCGCGGAGAAACCCCATGTACTTAGCAGGCACACGCCTTAACCACTCGGCCAAAGCGACGTTTGTTTATTTAGATGTTTGGATTTAAATATATTATATCATAGTCAAATTTCCTTGTCAATATTAAACTTGTTTCCAGTACAAAATTATTAAAATATCGTCATTCGGTAAAATGGGATCGATAAAATGACAGTGAAGATTGAAGTAGACTATAAACTATGGTCACTTCATCGAGGGAGTCCACTTTCTCTTCCACG